TCAGCAGTGGACTTGTGAAGGGCTATAATGATGATGATGATGATGAATACTTTAGAGAATATGTGACCTTTTTGTGTTTTTATGTGTTGATGAGTGTAGTATTTTTGCTCTGATTATTATTTAGTCGATGAAATTGGTATTTGATGTCGATGGTTGGACTTTTTTGAAGCTGGTTGAAGGGACAATGTCTTACCGGGCTATGCCGCATGGCTAGTTGAAAGACCACATTCGTCCGGTCCAAGCTTATGAATTGTGGAGTAACACTGTTTGAAGGGACAGTTCCGCTCGGTTCAGGTAGGTTGATCGAACAGAGAATAGGTAACATTATCGTCCGGTTCAGACCCGACGGGTTGGTCATAGGGACATACTAGTGTACTGCTGTATGTGATGGCATGAAATAAAGGTGCTTTCCGGTCCATGCGTCGTCAAAGGCTTTCGATTATTGTATGAGTAAGGATGTTAGTATATCTACATGAAAGTATATGTTGTTAAAGCGTATATCTTCTATCGATTCTATTAGTGCTGTACAAGGTGTACAAAGAGATATGTGTGTCTGTGCTTAGTGTAAAGAGCCGGTTGTCTGGTCCATGTTGTCATATGAGATGACGACTAGCCGTAGGGACGCTGTCGCTCAACTGAGTTAGTTGTCGTCATATGAGATGATAGGTAAAGAGCCAGTTGTCAATTTCACTTTGTCATATGAGATGATGGCTGGTCAAAAGGACGCCTTAGCTAGAGTTTGCACGAGGTAAAATGTAATCCCTTTGCGTATATGTGTGTAAATGTCCAAAGATAGGGAAGGCGTATCATGTATGCATAGACGAGCTAAAGAAGTGGTGATTAATAGTATTTGTCACAGGAAGGTCTGGAATTTTCCCTTTTCGCCAACTAGAAGTAAGTAACGATTCCAGTTTCCAGGTGTGATATGGAGCATTATCTACATGAATTTTGTTGTCTTTTGATTGCTGGAGAATATTTTTAACCAGTTTCCATATTGAAAGTCATATCCTTGTGGTAATCATCTAGCCCACTTTTCGCTTCGTGTACTGGTAAACCATCACCCACGAAACCCTCTTTGTTTCCAACATGGGACACTACTAGTCGTCTCTCTTCGCCCGAAGGCCGCTTAAATCCAGTTGTTAGGCCTTTTAAGAAAGCCTGGCGTAAAGTTTGCACACTGTTGTCCACCCAGTGCTTGTTCTCAGTATGGCCTGGAATGATTTAATAATATTATGAGAACAAAATAAAAATAAACATAAATAATAATATTATAAAGACAATAGTCTTGATAAACAGGAATATGCTAATATAATAATATTAGCAAATATCTACTTGTTTATTTTCTCTGTCACTGAATGAAAAATTAGTACAACAGATACATGTAAGTAATGTTTACAAGAATACATTGATGTTGTGGAGACTGAAGCCTGTTCTAGGATTACCTGTGTTACAGGTCTCCGGGTCTCGAAATTACCTGGACAGGTCACAGTAATTCAAACATAGATACTATTAGGTGATAACGTAAGTACAAAGCTCCATATATCATTTTATAATATATAAAGTGACCTTCGAATTCAAATTCTTTATATGCAACTAAATAGGTACGAAATGTTTTGTTCCAGATGATATCACTGTTATTGTGTTTAGAAACCTATTTAGCTATTAACTACATGCAAATAATCAAAAGTTTTCGTAATACAATTAACTACAAAATTTATTCTATATAAATAACTAAAACGTCTTTTACAATCTTTATAAATAAATAAAATCATATAAATAAATTAATTAAGAGATCGATTTTAATTTACTACAAAACTACGTAGACGCTACATTTTAAAAACTCATTTACTGTACAAAAATTTTTCACGACCAACCATCGTCGTACTAGTGAAATTTTAAACTGAAACTGAAAACTGAAAATTTATTATATGGTAATTGTTTATTATGTGAGGGTATTTTGTTATAAATAGTGATGCACATTTCACAGCGTTTTTTTTAAAAGCGTTTTATTTTTTGGATTTGTTCCAAGTACTAGTTTATGAAGGTTCCTTCAATTTTTTTTCACCTTTAGCTTGAAAGAATATGTTCCTGTTTTGCATAACGAATTTGTCAACCTCAAATATATAAAGGAAAGGGAAGTATTTTTAAACTCTTAAAATAAGGCTTGCGTGATATGTCTTCCCTACGATACTGCTTTATTTTTGTAAATATCGATAACACTATAAAATTAAGTTATCTCGGTTAATTAATGCCCTGCGGCGTTTTCTGGTCATGCACTTAAAATGAAGGTGATTTAATATTTTATATAACGTACTTCTCGAAAATGATTGATGTTCTGGGTCATCATTTATGACTTGAAGAATCTAAAAATTAATAAAAGGTGTAAATAACTATGAACTTTAATTATAATTACAGTTTGCAAACGTCATTATAATACTTAACATTGATATTTAAAATATTAAATGAACAAAACTAGCATTGTACCTTGTTCAAGGATGAAGATGCATTCCTATTAAATAATTGATGTACTTTTCGACGTATAGCCGAAAGAATGAAATTATTTAATTTAAATTTGAAATTTGACTTAGGGCTAGGTATTTTCGGAGAACTAAAATTTTCATTCTCTTTGTGCTCTTTCAGCACCTTGTAGATTAAATCACTGGATATGTTATGTATTTTTTTAAAGAATATTAACAATGCTATAAACATTACTAATATTCCCCTTAACAACTCGTGGTAAGCTTAAATTGCTTGTGTTACGATTTAGGCCGTTTTTAAAACTTATTCTTTTTTTTTCGGCGTCTTGGTTGGAGATTCGGTTTTCTTTTCATTATGCACTTTCTACGTCATGCCTACGTGACGAACTTGAAGGCTGAGCGTCCACCATAAATTGTTCTGGAAAATTAAAAACTTATCCAAATCATAAAATTTAACACAAAAAACTAACAAAGTACCTAACAGAAAAAAATCAACAAAAATATAACAAATAACACTTGATATTTTATCAAGATAGACAACGAATGAATTCGAACGCTTCAGAGGTTGAAGTACGAATGAGGTAAACAAAACGGCGTCTAGTGTTTTCTTTTTTTAAATGTAGGATTTCTGTATTCGAAATCTATAATTTATGCATTTTTCAGTAAAACACAATAACTGTCATATTTTCATAATAATTTTTTAAATTGTAGTTGTTTTTAGTTTGTCGATTGCTTATGGAAAATGTCACAAAAATAATAATAATTGTTGGAAATATACCAATCACTTCCGTCTCATTCTTTCTTTGTTTGTTAGGTAAATGCAAAACATTTAAATATAAATGAATAAAATAAGCAATAATATCCATATGATATTTATACTTGGCCAACTAAATTATAGCATACATAGTTTAAAATTGAGGTAAAAAATATACTTTCATAGTAATAACGATTGAAAAATAATTTCAGTAAATCGTGTTATGTCATTTTATTAATAGAAATAGCGACGCGCTTTAACCGACATCGACAATCTTTTGAATCCGAGTTCATAAAAGATCCATTTACTATGTAGATTATTAACGACAAGGCCGTCTGAAAATATAGAGAGATAGAAGATAAGATTTCTCTTTTGATCACTGAATATTCGCGTAAGACGTGTTTCTTATAAACCGATAAATACGTTTTTACAAACCGTCGTATATTTCAGATGTATTATTTCAGATGCTTATATTAGCAGGTCAGAGCCACGTATTAACCATTATATTAATCAGTGGTCAGGGGCTAAGCATTCGTAGTAAATTCCATAATTCGCGAGCAACCCGAATCCGATCCCCGCAGGTACCAATAAAATTGTTAATTGTGTGCAGGACGGAGCGCTGCGTACGTTTCAAGTGATGCCGCATCAATGCTCAACTTCTTGACACGCACTCTCGCATATTTCTTATTCCTTTCTTTGTATAATTGCGGTGCGTACCTGAGTGCTTGTTCTTACATTAATAATAATAATTTAATAATAAAGGATGATGGATTTGACTAGAATGCGCAAAGGGCTGCTGCCTGGAGGACGCCAGGGCGCATCTGGAGCTGGCGCTGGACGCGACAGCATGCGAACCGCCAGCCAACGAGCGCAAGGTGCTGCACGACCACCCAGCAGCCCCTCGCATCCATCATCCCCACCAGCTGGCTTGGTGACGGCAGGGTCTTCGCGGGCCCAGCAATCGGCACCCGTCACTGGTGGAGCATGTCGCATGCGTTGGACAACTCAAGTGAACAGCAACGCATTGCGGGCGTATTTTAGGGCGAAAGGGGGAGAAATTGGAGGTTTTGCGTATCGGGCAAGGATGCATCGACTTTTTGCTGAGCTGGAGCCATCTGTAACCATCACCGAGTAAAACCTGGCAGACCGAGTTCGTTATATCTTGCGCTCAAATACATTTGATGTCACCGAACTCGAACAGCTACGACATGAGGCTGTTCCTTCATCGGATGTAAATGCTACGGCTGAGGATACGGCGCCACAACTTGCAGAGCAACCGGCAAACGTGGATGCCACCGTGAATACCCCAGTTTTGGTTGATTCAAACGATGATAGAATAGTCGCCAAGGAACTGGAACTGGAGCAAATGAGGAGTACATTGGATGAGGCAATTTTGGAAACGCGCAGTACGCCTCTCGAAAATCGACCGCGACTTCCCCGCATAGCCCTCAGCAAGCGGAATCGGCTATCGTGAGGGCTCTGAAACCAATGCTGGTGACCTATTTGAAAGCCAGCCGGGACCTTTGCGAGACGGATTAAATTCTCTTTGGCACCGCACTGGCAGTCTGCCGTATTATAGGTGCCAAACTTTCCACGGCTGGACGCACTACTGGACAAAGTAGTGCTATCCCAGCCTAGAGAACAAGAATTGAAGAACGTATCGCAAAGGCTAGGGCCCTCATCGGCAGACTAATATGCTTCAGGTTAGGCAATACCAGGTCAGTATGGCATTTTCTGGGACAAATATTAGTTAGTCCCAGCCGGATATAATGAAAAAACTGACGGAGCACATAGACGACCTGAAGCATAGAATCGCTGCTTGGGGAAAGCGGATTCGGCGATATAGCGAGAGGTCGACACGGTTCAACCAGAATTGTCTCTACCAGAGTGATCAGAAGAGGCTCTATAAATTATTGGAGCGACCAATGATAAGTGGAACGGGCCCAGTACCGAATCAGGCCGACACGGTAGCATTCTGGCGCAGCCTGTGGTTAGAGCCTGTAAACCACAACGAGGGCCCTTGGACGGAAGTTGTGGCGAGTCAGTTTGCGGGTATTACGCCCATGGACCCGTCATCATAATGCCGGATGACGTAGCTGAGGCGGTCCGTAGGGCCCGGAACTGGAAAAGTCTGGGGCTTGACGGGCTGCATCACTACTGGCTGAAGGGGTTCATGGTGTGTCATGCTGTGCTCGCTTGAGAGTTTCAAGAGGCTCTCACCCAGAGGTCGCTCCCGAGCCTCTTCACTACTGGGATCACTCATTTGGTTCCTAAAGATCAGGGTACCACAGACCCGAGCAAATACCGCGTGTCTACCGATCATATAAAAGACACTAACATCCATTTTAAGTACGAGATTCACTCGTCATCTGGACTCAAATCAGGTGATGTCGCGCGCTCAAAATGGATGTCGGGGCGGCGGTCGTGGAACCAAGGAACCACTCCTCATTGACGCGGTCATTGGCAAAGTGGTGAAACGCAACCTCGGACTTCTCTTACAGAAAGGTATTTGACTCGGTGCCTTATACATGGCAGGTCCTCGAGCTGTACAAGATTGACTGTACAGTTCGAGATTTCCTCGAACAATGTATAGGGCAGTGGAGTACGATCCTCTGTCATCTAGGCGAGCGGATGACGGCTGCGGAAATCCGCATAAGGATAAGAAGGGGTATATTCCAGGGCGACTGCCTGAGTCCAATCTGGTTCTCTCTTTTAACCCTCTCAGTACTTTACTGGGCTTCGGGAGGATTTTCAACTTCGGAAAGAAGGTACAAAAGTGACCCACCTTTTCTATATGGATGACCTCAAATTATTCGCTTCCAGTCGCTCCCATCTTATGGAATTGCTAAACATCACTTGTGAATATAGCAATTCTATTAGAATGGAGCTGGGGACGGATAAGTGTGCGGTCCTCCATGTTGAAAGGGGAAGGGTTGCTAAATCTGAGGGCATAGACTTATCTACGCCCGTCAACTTAAGGACCCTTTCCGAGCCTGAAACATACCGATACCTGGGTATTTCACAGAACATCGGTATCGATGAGGTTGGTATGAAACAGTTTGTTTGCGACGTGTTTTATGCACGCTTGACCAAAGTGCTTAACAGCCTTTTGTCCGGTGTGAATAAGACACACGTAAGTAGGGTGATAGTCTGCTGTACACAGCATATAAAAGCTGGGTCATGCCTGTCCTCATGTATACCTTTGTCATACTCAGGTGGAGTCAGACTGAACTAAACGCCCTGGATAGAAAAGTCCGCACTACAATGACGTCCCATAGGATACATCATACGAGATCGTCGGTAATGAGGCTGTACTTGCCGCGAAAGCATGGTGGGCATGGCTTCTTGAGCGCACTCACCATGCATAATCGCGAAGTGTGCAGCCTTCGTGATTACTTCCTGGCGAGATCGGATGATCCATTCTATAATTACGTCATTTCTAGTGATAAAGGAGTTACCCCTCTATCCTTAGCCAACGAGCAATGGCAGGACCCGGCAGTACAGAGCATTTCCGACCGGGAGACCGTATGGAAGGAGAAGGAGCTCCACGGGAGGTACTACAGAGCTTAACATGAGCCCCACGTATATACAGCCGCCTCCTTCAACTGGCTACATTTCGGTGTCCTCTTCGGGGAAACCGAGAGTTTTATCTGTGCAATACAGGATCAGGTTATTAAGACCAACAACTATCGGAGATACATCCTAAAGGATGGCACTGTCGACGTCTGTCGAGCTTGTCGCCATCCCGGGGAGTCACTTAGGCATGTCATCTCCGGTTGTTCGGCGCTTTCTAACTCTGAGTACTTGCACAGGCACAATCTAGTAGCCAGAATTCTTCACCATGAGCTCGCTCTGAAATACGGTGTCGTGGACCGGAAATTGCCGTATTACAAGTACTTGTCGGAAGCCGTGCTCGAAAATGACCACGCCAAGCTCTACTGGGACCGGGTCATCATCACAGACAGGACTATTCTTGCGAATAAGCCTGATATTGTGCTGATGGACCGGGCACAGTCTAGGATATTTTTGGTTGACATTACTATTCCGTATGACGAGAACCTCGTGAAAGCCGAAACAGATAAACGAACAAAATATCTGGACCTGGCTCACGAGGTGACCGACATGTGGGGTGGTATGCTGGCCGAAATTATTCCTGTAGTCGTCTCTGCGAATGGGCTAATCCCAGTCAGCCTCTCGGGTCATCTGAGGCGACTATGACTCCGTGACGGACGGCTCCGGGCTCAAATGCAGAAGGCGGTGCTCCTCGTTACCGCCCGCATCGTCCACTGGTTTCTTTCCCCTTCCCCCTAACCCTCGGCAGTTTGGTCTTCCCTACCGAGAGCTCCCATCTGGTTGGATCTTATTTATTTATGTAGTTTTTGTATTTATTTGATTTTATTGATATTTACGTATATTTATCTTTTCATTTTAATTATATATTTATAGAAGCCAACCAGGTGAGAAAATTACATAGATAAAAAAAAATATGCCAAAAAACTTACAAGAAATTTGCAAACAGTAATCTGACTCCCGTGCCAGAAAAGACGTTTAAGGAAAAAAACAATTTTCTTTGTTTTACGTCACTTGAATATGCACGAGACGCTCCACCTTTCTTTTTTTCTTAGACTAAGATAAGTGTGAATTTGTTATTTTAAATGGAATTCGGTGTTGTAAGTAATGCGTAAATTGGTATTGTATAAAAAATATAATTTCGCAATGCATATTGGAACAAGACAGAGAAATTGAATTATTAAAGAAAATAATATACCTAAAATCTCTGATGTGTTAACAATACTACTTACATTACTAACTACCTGCCTTTGATATAAAGCTCATTTAATAAGACTGATTCACTGAAATACATACGTACATAAAAAGTATTCAATTGAATTCAGAACCTCCACCTTTTTTGTAGTCAGCATAAAATTTTTCGTTGATTCGTGTAATCGAGTCACGTTTAGCAAACTAGCCATTGAACGAGACACGAAATTACCATCACGCACGTTTTGCTATATCGAAATCACTCACAATGACACACAAATGAGTCAGACACTTCTGTTGGGTCACGTTTATTAAAGAGAGTTTTATCAAAATATATTCGAACGGGTCTTCTGCTCTCTCTCTGGCCTCTTTTAATACAATGGATTAGTAGTAAGTATATGCTAAATTCACCATCATAATCATTTTCATTACACTATATCAGTCTACTACAGAACATAAGCCTTCACCAAGAAAAGGTTTCATAACACATAGCAAAAACAAACATAATGCAAAAATCGAATATTACTTTGGTGACTTTTTAAAACAGAAATAATACTTATTTTAATCTGTAATATTTGCTCTATTCATAATATTAAATCGAAAAGCATAGTCCTATGACAAAATGTTGTTTATTGATAAACCCGGGTTTAAACTAAAATTTAAGAAGAGTGATTCTAACCAAAGAAATCTCATCTTAAAATAAAGTTTATTGTAAAAACTCAACATTATTAGCGAAACTTGTCGTTTTTTTTTGTCGAATTCCATAACTTACTTTCTAGAACATATATTTGCGGAACTTCTTTCTTGAAACAGATTTTAGCTGAACTTGAGATTAATTATAAACTACATTTTGTAATATGACCAAATGTGTTTACTTTGCGTTTAGGATTTAGATAAAGATATAGAATAATGACGATTAGCGAGCATACCTGATAATCAGATGGTAAATGTTACGCAATTTCTCCTAAACTTCGAAATAACTAAGATATCTACCACGACAAGAAAGTTTTCATAATTAAATTGCATTGCAAATTATTCGTCTGTTAAAAAAATTTTGGACGAGATTAAAAAATAATGGTTGCTGTAAAAGATATAAATTTCCATATTATTCTCTCAGGAACTCGCTTTCAAGCGATTAGACCTCCGTATGAGCACACTCCAGAGCATAAGTAATTGCAAAATACCCATCCACATTTTTAAGTGCTTTATTAAAATTAAATTTTGTAATCTGGTTAAATGGAGAGAAAATATTGCGGGTTGCTACTTTAAAATAAATTGTCTAATAAATTAATAAATAATACGGCGTCGGCAGTTTCCCCCTGTCGCATCTTATGACACACACGGGACGATATCCGGTAGTGTATGTACTTATACTTCCACTATACTGTTATGAAATATTTATTACTTATTTTAACGACTAAAATTGTCTTTTTTATCCTGTACAAATCAAAAGGAAACAAATATACGTAAAAAAATGATTATGTTCCTCTCTAATTGATAGACCTTTATTCAATTCCTTACCTAAAATTCCTAAAACGTTAAGTTTATGTATCGTTTCTTTTATTAAATGGTTTTTTAATTTTATTTTAGAATTTTAAAAATAGTAAGTTTAATATTAATACGTTTGTTGTCTTATTATTATAATTTAGCTATTTAACTTCGATGACAATGCAATAATACGGAACCATTTAGCTGTTCTGATGATCTACTCGGATGCTTCCTTTAAAAACTTGTTTTAAAAAGATTTTATATTATTTTTAAAGACGAGTTAACATCTATTTAGCATTGGTAGAGGAAAACAAATTGCAACCTTTATGAAGAGTTTTAATATTTTTCTAAGACAAAAGTCTTTATTCAGATAAAAACTTACGCTTTAAAAACTTAAGCCAGGTCAAGCTATCCAGTTCTAGGCATTGTTCTAAAATATACAAGAAGTGGTTCAGTGAAAAACGTGGATATTATTTTATTTATTCAAACTTGTATTAAGTGAAGTTGAAATTTCTCATCTCATTCAGTAAAGTAATGTAAAGTTACAGCCTATATACGTCCCACTGCTGGGCTCAGGCCTCCCCTCATTTCTGAGAGGGTTTAGGGCAAGGAAGTGTCCGCCGCGCTGCCCAAACACATGTTGACGAACTTCACATGTCTTCGAAATATTTTTTTTTCTTATTCCTCAGACATGCAGGTTTCCTGACGATGTTTTCCTTCACCGCCGAGCACGTGGTAAATCAGCACTTAAAATTGCAATTAACAATTTCATTGGTGCCGGTGGGGATCGAACCCGGGTTACTCGCGTTCTGTTATATTTACAGCGAGCGTT